ATCATAATATAGTCATAATATATATATATACATATATATATATATATATTAGTGCTGGGCAAGTTGACGCGTTATTATCGCGTTAACGCATTCATTAATTAACACCGACAATTATTTTATCACGCGTTAACAAAGTTTATTTTTTTATTATTAAACTGACATTTTTAACACAAGAACCGGCAGCGAGCGGTGAACAGCTGTTTGTGTGGCGTCTCTTCCGTCTCTTCCTGTTTCCTTCACCTACACTCCCCTGGGTCCTAAGGCCCTCCTTGTTGTACAGCTTCTTATCACCCTCTTTGTACCAACGTACATTTATAACAATCCCGAGTTTTTAAAGTGTTTTGTTTGTAATATGTATAATAAGCATCATTTAGTATCACTACTGAGAATTTAACAAACGTAAAAACATGACGTAGATATGTTTGCAGTTTTCAAGAAGTATATTTAAATTGCATCTCTTACACACATGAAGATAAAGTTATGAACACCGGCTGAATATCTATGATCAGAATCATTATAACTGTGTTATAACTGATACTGTGTAAAGGGAATACTGCTGCTAACAAGAACCTGATGTGTTTAAAGTGTTTGCAAACCAATTAATCACGATTAATCTCAAATAAATCATGCGATTAATCGCAATAAAAAATTGTAATTGTTGCTCAGATCCCCAGTGTGAAGGCTTGAATAGCTCTCTGTTGAGACAATCGTCAGCTATATTTCAGATTAAATGACTCGATGATATTTTGGATCAGCAGACAGTGAAACTCAGTCAGGCTGCTGGTTTATTCATAGTCTACTGTAAAGACATGTGACTCGATGTGACGCTCTATTCCTGTCTGATATTAACTCACAAACACACGTCTCAAATAAAGTGATATCTTGATGCTACAGTCGGCTTTGTATCACGTATATACGCTCAGAATAATAGCACAGTCCTGCATATTTATTCACCCCAGTTTACATTATATCTTATTTTATATTTTACAATTTATATTTTATAGTTTACATTTTATATTTTGTATATGAAATATCAAATTTAAAATATATGTATATATTATATAATATACAATATATACAGTATATACTGTATATGTGTATTTTGGGGCCTCATGATGGACCTGAAAGTTGTATTTCTAAGTCCAGGATGAAAGATTTTGTGTTTTTTCTATTAATTAAAAAGTCTGGATAGTTCCAGATGGGAGCGTATTTATTATTTAGTTATTTGGTGTCATTTATTATATATGTGATGATTCAGAGGCTCATCTGCTCTTAACTTCTGTCGTAAACATTTCATTCTTGTGTTTTTATCTCATTAAATGAGAAGATTTGAGTGAATATGTAATAAGAGTGAATGCACATTGATCAACATCAGGCTGTGGTGATGAAGCACAGAGGAGGCTGCTGCTGTCAACAGCAGAATAAAGTCCACGTCAGCAGCTTTACCCTGTTTACTGTTTGTCAACTTGACCCAGACCTGGTGCTGGTCTTCAGTTGAGTGAGTCCTGGTGCTGGTCTTCAGCTGAGCTCATTACTGAGGTCCACAGATTGAGAAGATGTATTTCCACTAAAGAGCGACGACACATTTGTTCACAGTGTCTGTCGTGTGAGAACACAAGCAAACCAAAATAAACGTACTTTGACATCAGATTCATATATTTACAGGCGAATATATACATACATAGATATATAAATATACTGTATATATATATCTCTATATATACATACATAGATATATAAATATACTGTATATATATATATATCTCTATAGGCTAGAGAGTGTGTGTGTGTGTGCTTCCTGGACCACATTAACACAGCAGTCAGCATTGACTCTGAAACAAACACATGTCAGTATCACTTTCAGAGATTCTACACCAAAGTATTCTCAGAGGGATTAAAGTGGTGGAAAGTAAAGTACATTTAAAGGAAAGTACTTTTTGAGTATTTCCACTTTCTGCTTCTTCACACTAAGAGAGGATCAAACTGAGACCGGTTCACAACCGAGTAAAGGTTCCTCAGTTACTTTAAGTAAAACTTCAGAGTACTTCTTCCAACACGGAACCAGATAAAACACTACACATGTGACCACACCCCCACACACACACCTCCGTCTGAGTATCGTCTGGTCTTCTTCCCATAACACACTCGTCTGGTGTCTCTCACTTCCTGACAGGAGGCTGTAGGTTCAGCAGCTTTAAGTTACAACTTGAACTCACACTTAAACATTAGCGTATATATTATTTCATGTATATACACATCATATATGTGTATACGACACATTTGTTACTCTGCTTAAGACCAGCATTTAAGGATAGTCTTTTTCTACTCGATGTAATCTCGTGTTCACACCCTTTTCTGTATTCAACTAGTCTGATAAATGCTGATTCATGTAAACACTAGGACGGCTCTGAGTCCAGTGGAAGAAGTTCAGCAGGATTCATTCATTTCTCCTCAACAGTTCTTTATTCTTTCCTACAGCAGACACATTATATATTTACATATTTAGAGACATCAGAGCTGAAACATTGAGTTATACACTCGTCATTTAAGCAGGTTCTTTTTATCCCAGACTCTAAAATGAGATATTTTTGACACAAGATATTTGTAGACATGGACTATTATAGATCAGAGGATTAATCTAGAAAATAATCTGCAGATCAATAATGAAATAGTTTGCAGCCTTTTACCAATTTATTTACATATTAAATAGACTGCTAATCAAAAATAACCAAATATATTCATATTTAAGAACATGAAAATGTAATTATTTATTTTTGGTATTCATGTTAACTCCATAAAGTTTACAGAAAGTTTATTTACTTTATACTTCGTTAGAAGCTTCATCGACTAAGTTTTAAAATCAATTTAACTTTAAAAACCGTTTAACTCTTTTAATTCCAGCGTCTTGAGTCGACATGTTGTGAATGAGTGAAGCACACGGAACGCGTCAGAGTACCGACAGATCTTCATTAGAAAAAGAAGAGCAAACAGCAGGTTTTTAATCCAGCATTAAATAAACTATCAGCAAGTAGAGGAGGAGAACACTATGTACACACACGAGAACACACGCCGACCGTGTTATATCAGGAACTCATAAACAGCGAGGCCTCCTTCTGGACTGAAGCTGTGAAGAAGAGGAAGTGGACATGGGGTAAAGAAAAGGACGCAGGAAACAAGGTAAGAAGTGATGCTGGGAGTGTGTCCGTTCCAGACGGTTTAAACAATGCTCAGTGGTGCGTTTCATTCGTCCACCCTCGCGCGACGTTTCTTCTTCTTTAAACAACATCCTGGTTTCTACGCCACCGGTCTGGACTTGACGCGGCGCTTGCGGACCTCCTCCATCAGGTCCTTGAGGTACTGGATCTCTCGGCTGATGGACTCGGCCTTCTCCGCCAGCTCGTTGTTCCTCTTCTCCAGCTCCTCGCACTCCGTGTTCAGGACGGAGTGCTCCACCCTCTTCTTCTGCCGGTAGCGAGTGGCCGCCGTCTTATTCTGCTCCATCTTCTTCAGCTTCTTCTCCACCTTGGGAGCGCCGGACACCGATTTAACCTTGGGGGTCTTGGAGGAGGAGGGTTCTGGTCTGGAGTAGGGTTTGGTCCTGGAGGAACCAGCTGTCGGAGACTTCGGGAGGCGAACAGGTGAGTTGGCGACGGACATGAGGGGGGGCTCGTCCTCGGTGGTGAGGACCACCACGAGAGAGATGGTCTGAATGGTTCCACTGGGATCTGGAATGACGGGGGCGGTGAGGTGAGCCAGCAGTGTTTTGTCTGCGTCCAGGACGTCCACCTCACTGCCCAGCTCCAGAGTGAAGGCCAGAGACGGAGGAGGCTCAGACTTGGTAACAACCTGCTGATCAGGAGCAACCTCGGTCTCAGTCTTCGCGGCTAGAGGGAGCTCCAGGATGCCGGGCAGTGAGAGCCCGAGCTCCAGACCGCCACCGACGTCGTCTGGCGCGGTCGCGTCGAAGGAGTCGACGTCCAGGTCCACGTGAGAGTCGAGGGAGGCCAGGAGATCCTCGGGGGAGCCGGGACACTCGTCTGACGAGCCGATGAGCGAGTCCAGGTCAAACTCACTCAGGTCGATCTTCTCCGACATCCAGTCCATGCCCGCAAAAGCATCATCTGCAGACAAAGAGATTTAGCTTCACTGACACTCAACGGGTCCTTTAAAACATCTGCAGACGGCATGAAAGCATTCCCAAGTCTGTAATTTGACTCAGTAAACCAGCTCCTGTTAGTATGCAACTCCTCTACTCTGGTGCAGTACTAGTGATCCTCATTACGTCTTATTTAGTATTTAAAGTCTCACCGTCGTCTGCTCCGATGTGGGCGTCGAGCAGGTCGCTGGCTCCCAGCCAGGGGAGGGACGAGGAGTCCCCTCCGGCCTTGGTTCCCAGGAACAAGGAGGGATGGGTGGGGGGAGTCGAGGAGGCAGGAGAGAGGAAGGAGGTGAAAGAGAAAGGGGGTGAAGCTGGAGCCTTCCCCTCTAGAGAGGAGGAGGGAGAAAGAGCTTCTTCTTCTTCTTCTTCATGTTGGTCCAGAGGGGGCCCCATGGGGTCAGCCGTCAGAAACGAGGGCCCTGAAGGCATAAACACTCATTTAATATCAGATTTATGCACTAAATCCTGATTATGTTTCAAACCATGTCTGACACACGTTAAATAAACGAGATGAACCAAATAGACATTTGGTTCATCCTGTCCAGTGTTATTCGTATTGCTCTACCTGTAATCCCTTGCAGGATTAATAAAGTATCCGTCTATCTCGTGCTCAACATTTAGTTCATCATCACATGAAACCAACCTAAGTACAGGGCCTCCACGGCCTCCAGGCAGAGGGTCATGACTGCTTCTGGTTCTGTTGCTCAGCGTGAATAAAAACAAAGACGAGCCCGATGACGTCAGCGGGTCGAGAGGTTCGGTTCTGCTGTCGACGGCAGCAAAGCTGTGTGTTGATCCCGAGGGAGACCTGAGGAAGAAGACACGGTCACTAAAGGGTTAAATACGAGCATAAACACTTAATAACTGATATGAAGAGGTTCATCAGAAAAGAGCAAATATATATGTAAACTATATGAGAATATTATGACACGTCTATATGTATATAATAAAAAAAATATAAAATAATATTTAAAAATATAAAATATTTTAAAATAATAATATTTTAAATATAAAATAAAGTATCTATAAATGGTGTTTGCACTTATTTTTTTAAATCTTTGTTTATATTTTTTAAGTTTGACCTGCTGATGGAAAATGTGTTTTTTTTGGGTTTAAATACATTATATGAAAAAGTATTTTCATGTATAATGTCTAAAAGTAAACCTACAGATATTTAGACAGAAACATCAGCTATTAAAACTATGATTATGTTTTGATGTTTAATTACATGACCCAACTATGTTTAACTTTTTAATCCAATCATTTCCTTTTATATATTTTACATTTTAATTACATTATTTAAAAAAGTATTTTCATGTATAAGTTTAATAAAACATTAAATGTAAAAATGCACAATATATAATAAAATACAATAATAAAAATAAATGGAGCTTGATATTTAGACAAAAACATCCACTATTAAAACTAACATTGTGCTCCTAATTTAATTACTTATTATTTATTTAAGTATATTTTACACCATAATTTCCTCTAATATATTTTAACCTTATACATGTGTTTAATTTTAAGAATTAGTTTATTTGAATCATTGTATTGTTAACAGATTATCTTCACTTCCGGAAACAATTAAGCTTCTTTGACTTTATACTCTAGTTTAGCGCGTGCTTTGGTCGTTAAGGCTGTTAACGTCATTAACATATGGAGAGGGGGGGGGCTATATTTAGACTAATCGCCTCCATTTAGGTGACGTCATGGAGACACACCCCACCGCCCTCTACCAGGGGGGGGATAACATCTCCTAATTTGGTCATAATGCCACTGGGCCCGGTGACCCCGCCCACCTCCTGTGCGTCATGGGCGGGGCAACCGCCATTTTCACAACAGAGAGCCATCTGTGAGAGCCAATGCGCGCCATTTTGGACACGCCACGTTGTCAAGTGTTTAATATACATACAAACACTAACCGATGTTGACGAATACCTTCTGTCGCGGTGGAATACATACAAACTGTTTAAAATGGAGGGGGCTTTAAAAGGCTATCGCCGTTTACAGAGACGATGGTAAACATAACAAACCCGGAAACAACCCACGGTGGGACTTAACTGACAGCTTGTAATGTGACACCACGGAGGTGAAAGTGTCGTAAATTAAAATGAATAAATACTTACGCCATTTTGCAAGAAATAGCCGGAGCACTTAGCCGCTGCACTGCCGGATTGTTGCCGCTGCAAAGATAGCCGCTGCGCGCCGTTAAACTGCCATTTTGGCACGAGACAGCGTTCACCGGGAGTTGATGTTTACGATGCAAGACGTGGCGACGAAGACCGAGCGGAGAGAGTCCCACAGCTATATAAAGAGCCGAAACACTGCCGACTGTCTGCTTCCGCGGTATCACTCCGCGGGGGCAATTCGTTCTTAGGTATCAGAAGAGTTTCCTCCTCTCAGAGGAAAATACTAATTCATAAGCAATAACCATCTCACAGCTGGACAGTTTACACAAACACCGCTGCGATTACTGCGCTTGAATGTGGTTTGTGATTGTGGTTGGATGCATAACGTCTATACACAGCTGACAAAATAGATCCACATGGAGCTTTAAACAGGAGCGTGCTCCACTCCTCAGAATGTAGGTCAGATGCAAAATGTAAACAATGAGAAAGGAAACAGTTTTTTAGTCTTTTATAAATGTTAATGACTAATAGGGGGGGGGCACTAAAACAACACGTAATGCATTTAATTTAGTTAAATTAATTATTATAATTTTCTTTTCTTTTTTATATTAGTTTAATATCTTTAATTATGTTTTATTTCCGGTGCCTTTATTAAATAACCGTATCTGGGATTAAATTAAATCCAACACACAAAAGATTTAGACTACGAACTGTATTCATGAGCTATTTTAACATCATGTTTGTGGACAATAACGTCACTATATAATAAGAAAAAGTTCACATCGGTGTACTCTATCGCCTTCCAGCTGAGAGTTCGTTGCAGCTGCTGGTTAGACTTGATGAACTCGTCTGGTTCACGCGGGGTAAGAGCTGGACTGCCCCCTGCTGGCGAGCTGCAGGTTTTAACAAGGACAGTCCTTAAATGTTTATAGAGATTATTAGAAAGCAGGAGGTTTGTTTTGTTCAAACAAGACAAAAATCCCTTCTAGTGTTAATATGACAAATATATTTTCATATTATGATGGTCTGAAGGAAGAACAATCTGGGATTTATGCTGAAAACTAACTTCTTGTGGAGGAAGGTGTGTGTACGTGTGTGAGTGTGTGTGCGTGAATGTGTCTGCGAGTGTGTGTGTGCGCTTGAGTGTGTTAGTGTCTGTGTGTGCGTGAGTGTGTTTGTGCATGTGTCTGTGTGTTAGATACCTCACCTCTCTCACCACGTCATTGTGACACCATCCTTCAGTTTCCTGTTTTCATTTAAATGTTTTATTTCTGTTTATTTGGATCATTATAAGATTGAATGTAGTGTAATTAATAAATAATGACTTCCTGTTGATTTGTTTACATATTTAGGTTAGAGCTCACTCATCCATGACAACATGTACCAAATATTTAAAGTGTTAAAAACACCACAACACAAATGTAAAGTCTTGAAATCATTTACAAAACACAGAACACAAAGACACAAGAAGTCTCCTTCTCTGAAACGGCAGGCTTCCAGTTACTCGTGTGAGATCACTGAACTCTGAACTCACTGAATCCTGCTCACTAACACGTTTAAACCTGTAGCTTTAAGGTGGATCCGCCTTGTTTTGTCGGTTCTGCTATTTCAGATTCAATCAAATAAACTGTGGGAGTGAAATATGGTGTTAATACTGTATTAATATCCTGAGCTCAGGTGTAAAGGTACAGGGATCACTGTTGTAACCCCAGAAGTAATTTTTATCAACCAGTGAACAGGAAGTGACCATATCTGGACTGAGGAGGAGTGACGTAGAGACTCCGTATACGTCTCTGGTAGAGACCTGTCAATCACTGTAAGCCCCGCCCTAAAGCATCCCCTGC